GAGGGGGGTTTGTTTTTGTTTTTTAATGTTTATTTTATTAAAAAAAAATTTTTTAATGTTTATTTTTGAGAGACAGCATGAGTGGAAGAGGGCAGAGAGAGAGAGAGGGAGACTCAGAATCGGAAGCAGGCTCCAGGCTCTAAGCTGTCAGCACAGAGCCCGACGCGGGGCTTGAACCCACACGCCGTGAGATCATGACCTGAGCCAAAATCGGACGCTCAGCTTACTGAGCCACCTAGGCGCCCCTATGTTTATTTTATTTTTGAGATAGAGAGAGAGACAGACACAGAGACAGAGTGTGAGACGGGGAGGGGCAGAGAGAGAGTGAGACACAGAAGCTGGAGCAGGCTCTGTGCTGACAGGAGAGAGCCCGGTGTGGGGCTTGAACTCACAAACCATGAGATCATGACCTGAGCCAAGGTCAGACGCCTAACTGACTGAGCCACCACCCAGGTACCCCTAAAAAATTGTTTTACGGCATAAACTTAAATTTTATATTATAACTGAGTAAATAGTAAATATAGAAGCAGACGTATTAAATTTGTTCAACTGATTCGACCAGAATTTTTTGTTAAATGAATGTAGATTGGTTTTCTTGTTCTTCTTCTTCTGAAAATAGTATAAAGAATATGTTGCACTCAGGCTCTGAAAGAAAACTTTTAATTAATTTGAAAAATATTTTAACAATGGCAGCTGGTTGGAATAAGAATCCTTGTTATTAGGAGCGCCTGGGTGGCTCAGTCGGTTGAGCGACCGACTTCAGCTCAGATCATGATCTCACAGCTCATGAGTTCAAGCCCCGCGTTGGACTATGTGCTGACAGCACAGAGCCTGGAGCCTGCTTCAGATTCTGTATCTATCTCTCTCTCTCTCTGCCCCTAACCCACATGCATTCTTTCTCTGTCTCTCTCAAAAGTAAACACTTAAAAAAAAAAAAAAAAGAATCCTTGTTATTCAACAAATATTTATTAAGTGCCTGGGTATGATTTAACCTTACAAGTGATCAGAGAAATACAAATTAAAAATATAAAATATCATATTTGATGTCAAATTGGCTAAAGTTTTTTTTAGATAATATTCTTATGAAGATATCAAACATTATTTTACATTTGGCAATTCATACATTGGCAACCTTTGTAGAGCATAGATGGCCTTAAAAATAACTATATGCTCTGACCATTTCACTTCTAAAAATTCATACCAAAACATTGCATAGACTTATGGAAATATATGGCTATGAGAATTTTCCTCACAGGTTACTGATGATAGCAAAAAATGGTAGGTTATAGGGGTGCCTGGGTGGCTGGTTGAGCGTCTGACTTCGGCTCGGGTCATGATCTTGTGGTCCCTGAGTTCGAGCCCTGCGTCGGGCTCTGTGCTGACAGCTCGGAGCCTGAAGACTGTTTCAGATTCTGTGTCTCTCTCTCTCTCTGACCCTCCCCCATTCATGCTCTGTCTCTCTCTGTCTCAAAAATAAATAAACGTTAAAAAAACTTTTTAAAAATGGTAGGTTATAAATATAACACAATATAGTATAATATAATATATAGTTAAATAAAATAAGATATTTATGGAATATTAAATAAAAGATATGTGTACTATCTAATCCACTTTAGTTTAAAAGAAGTATAGATGTGCACAGAAAAAGACCAGAAAGCCTTACCCTTATTATTTCTGGGTGGCGAATTTTCAGATAATTTAAATTTTTGCTCATTTTTCATATTTTTGTGTTTAACATATAAAAAGAAAAAAAAGCAAAGGTTTTTAAAAAGTGAAAAAATAAAATTCAAAGTGACAAGTATATTGTTAGAAGTTTGCAATGTACGGTGTAAGAGCTCACTGGAACGGCTTTATCCTGATTTAGGGCCAAGTGAGCAGAGATTTTTTGAGAAGAAACTGAACAGAGGCGTCCCCTCAGTCACATTAAAGATGAGGACACACAAGTGTATATGCAAGTGCTGGTATTTGTTAGGAAATCAGTCGCATTACTTACTGCACCTATAGTGTTTATCCAATCCCAAAAGCATTCAGAGTATTTCTAAAACATGTGTAATCGATTTTCACTTTTCTTTGCAGTTCTCCATTATCCATTTATGTATTTTTTCCAACAACTATGGTTAAAATACTTCCACAGTATTGTATAAATCCATCTTTCCTTTTTGGGGGGCAGCCACGACTGCATTAAAGTTTAGCCCTTAACAGACTTCACTTACATTAACCCAGAGCTCCTTAAGGACAGGGATGCTGTTTTATTCATCATGCGTGTGCAGCATGCAGCAGGCACAGATAACACCAGCGAAAAGCAGGTAGGTGTGAGCTTCTATTCTCAAGTCTTTTGTTTTATTAGGACCTTTTTTCTTTGGCAGATATACTAACACATGACTTCATAGTGCAAAATTCTTGTAAAAAGAAAATAGATTTTAGTTTCCAAGCAGAGAACCTGGGAAATCTGTGAATCATCGATTTTCCTGCTTTGAAACCATTTTTGTGCCGCCCAGTCAATACAAGTAGGCCTGGGAGAGTGAAACTGTCCTCACACCCAGAGCTGGGGAGGCAGACAGAACCTCCCCACAGAATTTAACACATCCCTCGGAAGCAGTAACATCCAAGCTTTCCTCATTCTTACTGAAGCTAGAGCAGCAGCTCTATCTGCTCATAGGAGATCTGTGCTTACTAATGAGCCCATTTCTTACTCTCAGTGAACCTGAAGGGGCTCGGTTTCAAATGGCACAATTTCCAGTGACTGAAACAGTGTCTGACACCTGGAGTTAAATCTCCGTTGAATTATAAAATAAACAAATGGAAGTGAAAGACAGATGAACAAAAGAAATTAACGTTGCTTTGCATAGCACTGTGAAATACTAACTTCACTGTGGATTGAGATGTACAAATTAAGGGCCAGTCGGGGAAAAAAAATCTATTCTTTATACATTCAGACCAAACTTAAATACCCACCGAGGACAGGCAGGCCATGCAGTTAATTGGTAGGTGTGCATGTGTGGACGTTACCCAGTGGAGGAGAAGCCAGCACACGCCATTTCAAGGGGACGAGGCTGACTCAGTTCCAGCCCTTTGTTGCCATATGGCGATGTAGGCCCAATTTCGTTAGTTTTTCCAGTTTTTTAAGAGAAGCTTGGAGTCTAGATTTCTTTATGAAAACTCCAGAATTTAAAATGCTGGCTCAAAATTTAAAAGTAGATAAACTGTATCTGTGAGTTCTGCATGTATATCTGGCTAGAGTAGAGGCACATTGATTGGAAACCTCTCGTTTTGACTTTACTGTGTCTGAGAATATTTATCCTTAGGGACATGTGCATGTGTGTTCATGTGTTTGTGTATGAACTGTATGTTGTCGCCATTACCTTGTGGAAACTGAGAAGAAGGAGGTAAGTCACACTGTGGGGAGGGTTTTTAAGGACTTGGTTAGCTGGTGGAAAATAGTGGAGGATGTATCTTTAGAGGGGAGAGCAATCAATAGGATGCGTACACCCATATCGAAAGTAGACACCTACCCTCCCAGAGAGACTGGAGGATACACGTGCTACTACCCTTAATGATTATGTATCAAAGGATGGCTCCCAGGTCCTTGAGGGAGGCGTTCCTGGGTTGTAACACTGGCAAGAAGCTTTTAAAGAAGTTTCTATCTATCTCAAGGAGAGCAAAGAAAGAATGACCAGTTTCAAGTTTTCTAAAAGAAATGCTCTAAGAAAAGGGAGGTCAGGGACCTAGAGTCAGGAAGAAGCCGGTCTGAAGTCGAGGGAAGCTGGAGAGAATGGTAAGTCCGTCTCTTGTTGATGTTTAGCAAGCTACACACCAGTAGGTCAGAAATAAATGTAAATTCTAGATGTTTCAACTCTAGCTCAGAGCCCTCCCCTCCTTGCCCCCACATCCTCCCTACTGCCTAGTGTACCAGGGTACCATGGGATGCCAGTGACGGTGACTAAGTTCTATCCATTTAAGCACTTAGAGGAGAAGCCCATTGTATGCCTAAATGCCCTCCAGGGGACTCTGCCTGCCTATGTAGGTACCAACAGGTGCTTACAACTGCCCCAGTACCCTGTGCTTTCACCAGCTGGGCAACCTTGGGAGCCTAGCCTCTGCATTCCTAAATGGGCACAATAAATACCAACTACACAGCATTTGTAGTGAATCTGGTCTATGTGAGGCACTCAATATGGTGCCCGGCATATAGTAACAACTCAATAAACAGTAACTATCAAGGTTTCAGCCAGTTCTCATCTGTGCAATTGTATTATTTCTGTAGAAGGAGGAACATACATTAACAAAATACCTAGAGAGGTGAAAGAAAAGAAGTTAAAAGAATAATGACTTAAATCTGCCAAAATCAAGAAGAAACTACCAGTGAGGCAGTAACTGTTTGCAAAGTGCCATGACCTACCCTCCTCAACTCCACTGATTTTCTACCCAATTTTCCTTTACCTTGTTCCCTCAAACTAAAGTATTTCCCTATGTACATCTCAAATCTCCGTGTTATTTAGCCCAAGGATACAATGCAATTTTAGAAATTACAACCTTTGTTGTATTTCCTTTCTTACATTTAGAACTCGCAGCATTTGACCCAATACCCATTTATTTTTTGAAAGCCCATGTGGGAGCTAATTGACTTTCCAGGAAGTTCTTTGCCAATCCTCCCCCAAAAAGGTTTCTCCTGTGTTTGTATCTGGTAGCAATTCTACAGTTTTCAACATTTGGAACTCTGGTATTATAATTGTGCTTGAAGTATCTACACAGAAATGGTCTGTTTCATCATCCCCTGAGCTCGGCCTGTGTGTGGATGTGACATTCCAGTGGAAGGAAGCCAAGAGCCTATAGTAGCGATCCTGGGGAAAATTTAAGCAGCTGTGGCTGTGTAATTCAAAACCTCTGAAAAGTGTGCTGCAGTCCGTGCACAGCATTAGTATAACATGAGGGCTGGATGTAGCCCGTCCTCCGGAGGACTTCCTTGCCCGCTGCAGGAAAGAGAAGATTGAAAGACAAACCTGGGTGCAGCCGGAAAGGTCCAAATAGATGAGCTTGTGGCATCCATCCCCTAAATTCAGGTACCGTAATCCTTTGTCTGTGAACTTTTTGCAGTAAGCCAAGCTGAGATTCTGTAAGTTGTGGAAGTGCCTGAAAAGACAGGACGAGAAAAGAGAGGAAGGAAGGGGATTAAACTTGAGTCGTTTTCCACATCTTTCTTAAGCCACTATGACAAAGAGAAGTAAAACTCTAAATTAATCTTTTCTCCTTGCAGATATTCAACAGTTGGACTTCATTGTTAATTCTCTTCCTGTTATGTAAAGGAGATTGTAGTAGTATGTCAGATAATGCATAATTACATTTTAGATGAAAATAAAGATTTGCCTCGATTTTTAAGAAAGCTAGTTGGGATAAAGCTTTGGGGGTGGGGGAGATTTGTGCATTCATATTGTTTGGACGTTAGTTTGTGTTCAAAACCAAAGTTACAGAGTTTGCATTATTGTTGCATTTAGGTTTTATCTTTGGAGCACCAAAACAATGTGCAAAATGTCTAGAAGGACAAACCCTTTGTAAACATTTAAATGGCGATTAACTGTTACATGACAGTGAGGACTGGGGGCAGAAAGGAGGCAAAGTTAAACATAACAGGCTCTTAAAATGGACATGATTAGCAAACGATTTGAAATAGACATTTGAATATGCATGATTTCATAAGTAACAGTTTCATATTTATAGTTAAAGAAAGACTAATTGATAGAGCTTAAAAATGGGTTAAAAAGGACAGTCTGCAAATGAGTTGGGCAACACATGAGGGGAATAAACACTACATCAGAGGCTATCTGTCTCACTGGAGTTCAAACAGATTAAATGTGGCATTACCACCATGACCAAAATGATCGCTTCCAGAAAAAAAAAAAAAAAAAAAAAAAAAAAAAAAAAAAAAAAAAAAAAAAAAAAAGGAGGGTAATTAAGATGAGCCTGTACTACCCGGCAAGGGCTTATAGTTTGAGGACCTTCTGTGGACAATTTTCCAAGCCTTCCTAAGCCTGGCATTTTTTAAAAGTGCAAGAACTCCCACTGTTGCCGAGTCTTGTAATGGAATTAACAACATGCTCTTGGTTTATGATCTGCACCAGTTTAACACCAAGTTGGAAAACAAGAACAAAAAAGTGGAAGAAGATGCCTCTCTGTCCCTCAAAAGCCCACAAATGACAAGTGAAATTTACCTTCACATAAAATTGGGAAATAAGATATGTGAGCATTGACAGTTAATCAGATTGATTACTAAAGTTTGAAAAACTCATCTATATGATATAAGGATTCCCATTGCATAGTGATTTATTTGATGCAGAACACACATTCCCCTCTGGCAATGGCTGTGTCCATGAGATTCAACAGAACAAAGAGGGACGCCATCTGGATTCCCCAGTGGCTGTGGGCAGGGCCATGGAGCAGAAAGCAGTACTAACATCCCAAGGACACGTCCCCTCTCCTGGGGCCCTTGAGTTAACGAAGATGTATGCCAAAGTTTTGAAAATGCTTGATCTTCCTCTCCCTGGAAGGGTACCCTTGTGATTCAAGAACAGCTTTCTTGGGGTGTGTGGAGGGTGCAGGGAGGATTGTCATTTCTAACAACACTTAAGCTCTCTAATTTGGAGGAGGGAGCCTGTGGCACACAGCACAACACAATGGAAAACACACACAGTTTTGGAATCGGACCAAACTGGTTTCAAATTTCAGCTCTAACACTTATTGCAACTTCCCTAACCTCTCAGAGATTGTTTGTGCATCTGTTAAGTGGGGATTATAATATGATGTCTTTTCTTTCTAAACCCTGACCAACTGTGTCCAGCTTTTCTGAACCTCAGTTTTCTCATCTGTAACATGGATGTAATTCTATCTGCTATTTCCTCTTAGAAGTATGACAATTCTATGAGAACATAGATGTAAGAGTATATATTAAGGATGACTTTTGATGATTAAAATCAGGAGGTAGATGCTTTAAAATATATGGGGTGCCTGGGTGGCTCAGTCGATTAAGCGTCTGACTCTTGATCTCAGTTCATGGTTCATGAGTTCGAGCCCTGTGTCGGGCTCTGTGCTGACAGTGTGGAGTCTGCTTGGAATTCTGTCTCCTCTCTCTGCCCCTACTTGTGCTCTCTCTCTCTCTCAAAATAAATAAATAAAATTAAAAAATAAAATAAATTTCAAAAATAAAATAAAAATATGTATTATTGTTATTACTAATTCAAATGATAACATATTAATTGTTCTTATGAAGTTTGTTGGGTCTTCTTTCATGTAATGGAATGGGTACTCATCTGACAAGGTGGTGCACACAACTAATTCCAAGGGTTTGGGGGAATTTCCTATGACATCTACACCCTCAGTTTGGTCAAGGTTTAAAGCCCTATTTAATCCGTTTGAACTCCAGTGAGATTGATAGCCTTTGTCGTAGTTTTTATTCCCTTCATGTGTTGCACATTTTCAGACTGTTCTTAACCCATTTTTAACCCCTATGTCAATTAATCTGTCTTTAATTATAATAATGTAACTGTTACTGACAAAATCATGCATATTCAAATATATTCAAATCTAGTCCAAAGCTGTTGTTTGATTTTTTTAACTCCTCGTGATCAGTTAACAAATACTGTAAGTAGGAATTGACTGAGGAGTTCTTAACTTTTTGTGTGTAACAGATACCTCTGGGTCTATGGACCCTTTATCAGCATAATGTTTTTAATACGTAGAATAAAATACTTAAAATTACAAAAGCAGCTCATTATATTGAAAGATATTACTATCAAAAATTTTTAAGGATCAAATGAGTAGAATAATAATATATGTGATTATTTTTAACATGTTTATATTACATATATATATTTGTTATGTAACATATGATATCATATGTTAATATTAAATAACAAATCTAGTGGCAGGGCTAATAACTACCCATGGTTTTGAGGGGGCGATGAATGTCAGTGATACTTTGAGATAACTATAACAACTATAGTAAGAAAATATTTCAGATTTTTATGGGTAAAAGAGTCCCAGGAACTGCTAGTGCTATTCTGATTTTTCACTTACATTTCAGTTAGAGCTTAGCAAAAACGGGGATGATTTTTCCCCCATCAAAACTTATGGAACCTCTGAATTCCATCCTTGTTCCTTGGGGGATCCACTGACCCCATGTTAAGAACCTCAGATTTGGCAAAAGAAGTTGTTCATTGGACTAAATGACTCCCAGACTGAAAGTCTCTAGGTGGCTGTCCTCAAAGTGGAACCTCATGGGAAACATCAGTTTGAAAACCTAGCATAGGAGGAATCTTGAGTGGCCCTGTGGCCTTTCCAGGGATTTACAGTGCTGCAGACTCAGAGCTTCTGGGAATGGGAAAACAATCAGTTGACAGTGAAATCACTTGGCAAATTTTATGCAATACTGCAACTTTTTATTCTGAATTTTGGCAAAGAAATACATCCCTTACGTGAGTAAGATCTGGCTCATCATGTTCTCAACCCAGAGACAACTTGGTATTTCTAATTCCACTTTGAAGCTGTGTTTGCAGCCTGTGTTTATCTTTTCCTAATTATTTGATAACTAACTGTTTCTAATGGGGGGAGAGGTTCTCTTTGTGATTTATTTTTCTACTGCTACTATAATCTTTAAGAAATAACAATTCTTGGGGTGCGTGGGTGGCTCAGTCAGCTAAGTGGCCGACTCTTGATTTCAGCTCAGGTCATGATCTCACGGTTCGTGGGTTTGAGCCCCACATCTGGTTCTGTGCTCACAGTGTGGAGCCTGCTTCGGATCCTCTGTCTCCTCTCTCTCTCAAAAATAAATAAAACATTTAAAATATTTGTAAAAATTTTTAAAAATCACAATTCTTACAGAAACTACAGAGATCACATTTTTTCTGTTGGCTTTTTTCCATTAAAGAATCGAGGTCTTCTGTATTAGATCACCAATACCTGAGGGCATTACTGTTGGAAGAAATGTAGAATTCTGTATTTAAACAATGATTTCTCTGAAAAAATCACCAAGACAAGGTCTAGTTTGTAAAAGAGAAGATTTGCAGGTAGTCTCTTTTGATTTAGTGCTGGGCTCTTTAGTTTCACAGAGGCAGTTTTGCATAATAGGATCCCTGCAAAAATCCAAATGCAGTGTTTTGACCTTATTCATAGACTAGACCTTGAGGATGTACAGTCAAGGAAACAGCTTACTCTTTCTGCCCCACTCAGATGGGTAAGACCATATAACCTGAGAGCACCTATGTGTAAAGAAATTTCCAAGCCATTTGAAGGGACTATGTGAAAAATAATTAAACACCATGCCACTACAGCACATGACACTCCATTAAAGAGCAAAGATCATAATAGCTTTACTCACTACTATATGCCCAGAATGTCCCGCACACAGTAGTTGATCAATGCATGGTAAAAAAAAAAAAAAAAAAAAAAAAAAAAAAAAAAAAGTGAATGAATGTTGCTGTTAGGATTCAGGGAAAGGAGAGATCATTGTGGAATTGTGGTAGATGGTATGACTCGAGGTATAAAGGCTATGGCTTAGCAGAGAGGAGGAGAAAGGAATTCCATCTATAGAGAAAGAGAAGCTTGCAGCAATCCAGACGACCAGAGTTAAGGGCTTCCCTTGGAAAACCAGGGCAGATAGGTTTCATCACATAATGTTAAGGACCTATACAGGAGAAGTTCGATCAATGTTAAAGGACAGTAAGGGAAGAGTCTAGACCTTCAGCATGTCAAAGACATGATAAGACTATCATTTCAGGATGATGCCTCTTACAGCGTAAGAAAAAAACAGATTGAAGGGAAGAGAGACCAAGGGTGAACCGTAGGGATGCTAGGCCAGATGAGGCGCTGAGAGTGCCACCTAGGTGGTGGCAATAGGAGTAAATGGAAAGGGTTCGATTCAGGAAATACTTAGAAGCAAAAATGTCCTGGAATGGGCATGAGCTATGAGCAGCCCTCATTTTCAACTTCAGAAAATGGAGCAGGTCCCCAAAGAAGTGAGGAAAAATATTCAAATAAAAAGCTGGCAAATCAATGTTGTCAAGAAGGGCAAACAAATTATATTTTTCTTCTGGCAAATGATTTCTTTGGAAAGAAATACTAAAGGCAACTGGGGAGAGAATGACAACAGCACACAACATTTCTCTGGTTATTTATAGTTTAAAGAACACTTTTGCATTCCCAAACATATTTGAAACAATGGAAAAACAGAACAAAAATAGGGAATCATAATGAAATGTATTTTTATCATAGATAAGAAAGTCAGTGTACATTTTTTTATATGACAAAAATCATCAATATCAAGTATATTTTTCGTGATTGTTCTCCCAGTCACAAGAACTACAGTTAAAATCAAAACAAAATTCTCATTTTGGGTCCTACCTATTTTTTTTATCTGTTGCCCACTAAAGGTATAGCTTCATTTTCAAAATAGGTGTTCCTAAGAAACTATGCACGGTGGTAGTATTATCTTAATTTTCCTAAGAGAAAAAATTATCTCCAAGTATGATATCCCAAATCATCTACTTCATAAATTCTGTTTTTCACATAGGGATTTAATGGATTTTGTAATATATTCTCTCTCTTTCTGTACACACACACACACACAAAGCATACATATTCTCTCTCTCTCTCTCTCTCTCTATATATATATATATACACACACACACACAAGCATATATGTTATCTCTCTCTGTATATATATACATATATATACACACACACACACACACACTCATACATGTACATATATACATATGCATATACATCTCCCTATGGAATTCCTAAAGAAAAGTATTGAGTGATATTCTATATTGCAGGACTAGAGCACCTTTTAGAATTCCTGAAAGGGTCAGGACCCTCCACAGTAGCATCACTGGAGCTGGCTTGCACCAGCCCATGAGAGCCAACTATTAGCATTTCTTTCCAACTCCACATTCAGTGACATCATGTTGGTAGCTTAAAATTGATCATGGTGGTAGTATTTACACCACGGAAATCAGTAAATCTTACAAATCAGAACATCCCCTTAACCCCTACCCAAACTAGTTATTAAACATTTATTGGAACCCAGCTATCCTTGGAACACACTTTGAGAACTACTGATATGGAGAATGCAGTATGTTGAGGAAATGTATACAGAGATAAAAATGATGAGAGAGAAGATGACAGCTTTGAAGGACAGGAATAAAAATTCTATCTGAGAATAAAACAGGATTCTTAAGACAAAACCTGAACAAATGGAATAGAAGCATTAAAAAGGAAAATGCCTTCCTTGCCTGAGAAAAGATCTAAGTTTTAATATTCAAAAGGTTTACTATGTTCCAGGAAAACTTAATTGAAAGAATACAATTAAGCTCGGATAATGTTTTTAATTTCTCAGTAAAAAAGGAAATTCTTGCAAGCATATTGGCAGAAAAATGGGTTTCCAACAAAGGAACAAAAAAAAAAAAAAATCAAGCTAGCTTTACACTTCTCTTTAACCTGAAATACCAAAGATTATGTGGCAATATTTGTAGGTTTTTAAGAATAAAGTAAGGGACAGGGGCGCCTGGGTGGCGCAGTCGGTTAAGCGTCCGACTTCAGCCAGGTCACGATCTCGCGGTCCGTGGGTTCGAGCCCCGCGTCGGGGTCTGGGCTGATGGCTCAAAGCCTGGAGCCTGTTTCCGATTCTGTGTCTCCCTCTCTCTCTGCCCCTCCCCCGTTCATGCTCTGTCTCTCTCTGTCCCAAAAATAAATAAAAAACGTTGAAAAAAAATTAAAAAAAAGAATAAAGTAAGGGACATAATTCAAGAGCTATACACCAAGAGAGGTTGTTGTTCACCCTTCAAGACAAAAGAAAGTCATTTTCAGAAAGCAATGGCTAAAAATCTAACACTTGTTTATCTTTCTCAATAAAGAGGTTTTAAAACTATATGTCCAGTCATCATGAGATGAATCAAAGTCAGAAATAAAGATTAAGGAAATTGTGGAACAAATGGACCATCAATGAATGACAAACTTAGAGTTAGGACTCCATAATCATAAATATCACAATATTGAGCACAAACATGAAAAATCAATATTGAAAGTAAGTTAGATGATTACCAAAAATCACAAATAATATGTGTTTATGGAAAAGGGGGTGGAAGTAGAGAAGCATCAAGTTCAAGGGAGAATGAAAGAGTATTAGATCTCTAACCAACGTCATTGTTCCGTCACAACTTTGATAACTGAAGAAATGCATATTAAAAGCATGTTTTTTAAAAAAAAATACACATCGCCACTAGTTAGAATACAGAACAGAATGTGCACATACCTCTGAAATACATTAAGATTATAAAAGTAAACAATATAGTTTATATAGCAAAAGGCAGAAACAATGAATACAGTATAGTAACATAAAAAATCAAAAACAAAGCAAGATCATAAAAATAAAACCATACACTCAATTTTGAAAGGAAATATTACTTGTAAACTATCCTCTTAAAAAGGCAGAATGAAAAATTTTAAAATAGAAGTTAGCTATGTGCTTCATATAAAAGGCAAACCTAAAATACACCAACATAAAGATTAAAAATACAGGGATACATAAAGTTATTCAAAAAAACCATAAGCAAAAGAAAATAAAGATGACTATATTAATAGCAGATAAAAAAGAATCTGAGGCAAAGAAACATCAACCAGAATAAAGAATGTAATTTTATGTGAATAAATGCTATAATCTATATTGAAACCTGCTACTTATTAATCTTTATATGTAAAATAAAAATATCAAAATAAAGAAGCTTGATTCTAAAAGACAACCAATGTATCATTATTATACTATGAAATATCAAGAATTCATACATATATACACACACGTAGAAATTTTGTTCTCTAAAAGAAACTCTCTTGTTTTAAGCATTCATGGATGATTTACTAAAATTAATTATATAAACTGGTCCACCAAGAAATCTCAATAAATTCCAAAAGGTAGAAATAATTCAGCCCACATTTCTTGACCACAGTGTACAAAATTAGAAATTAAAACCAGAAGCCTAATCAAAGAAACTTCAACTACTTGGAACCAAAAATTCTCTTCTAAATAATTATTGGGTCAAAGATGAAAACAAATGTGCAACAGTTTACAAAATGAGAACAATACTTATTAAATCTTACAAGCTTTGCCTATATTCTTATTCAGAGGTAATTTCATATTAAATCTTACAAATGAAAGAAATCAATTAAATCTTACAAATGAAAACATTAAAAGGACACTTGTACCTTGTACCCAAGTCCAAAAATGACCATTTGGAAAATATAATGAGAAATTAAAATTAAAATTTAATTAAAACCAAGAGTCAGAAGCTTAACCGAATGAGCCACCCAGGCACCCCTTAACAACTCTGAAAGTGTAAAAAATATTCTTAGCTCATGGACTACATTAAGTCAGGCTTTGGACCACACGAGTCATAGTTTGCTGAACCCTATTACATTGTTAACTCATTTATCTACCAAAATAAATTCTAGATTGATTATAGATTTAAGTAAAAACAAATCATACAAGAAAAAAATAATAAATGACATCAAACACCTGGAAGGAAGAAAACCTTTATTTAAAAGTTTAAAAGTATCAGAAGAAATTTCAAAGGAAAAATTTGATAGATTTTACTAAACAGACTTGACTAAAATGTGGAAACTCAATTAATGGGATAAACAGAAAATATGTTACCACTTTTTTTAGGCTTACACATTTCTAGAAAATGATCAGAGACAGAAGATAAGGAAAATAACCACCTAGAATTTTCTCTAGCTTTTTCAAATGCTTTGCTGTTATTTTTCAAAGAATCTCAAAAAGTTATATTCTCAAAAATAATTTATTCTTTCGCAATAGTGTGAAAAAAATGTTTTGAATCTCTCCCAATATGATTATCTTCTCTTCCTGATTAGTATTTCCTTGGTGAAAATAAATAATTGAATGACATAAAATTTGAATATCCTGTCAACTTTTGGTGATGTCTTGTAGTCTTCTGTCCCTTCTCCTCCAACGAAGCACTAGCTGAGGAGATGCGACATTTGTATTCAGCCCATAGATCAAAAACAACTCGTATCAGATTTCCTGGAGGTGGTGGAGGTCCCAACAGGTAACCAGAGCATGGCAACAGGGAATATGGGATCACAGTGTTCAAGGTCAAAGAAAGGAGGGCACTGGTGTTCTGTTGTCAAGAAGTCCAGACATGGGACTGGAATTTAGAAGCCAGGCTCCATTGCCCAGGAAGGAGGACCAGAAAGAGACTGGCAGAGCCTAACTCAAGCTACTGGGCACATTGCTATAAGAGTGACACAGAAATGTTGGCCAAGCAGAGGACCAGTTATTTAATCTGGGCCCGCCCATGAGGCAGAGAATAGGCACCGGGTCGGGGACTTGAAACCAGCAGTCCTGTTACTAGATTAGTGGTGCCATGATGGTGGGGTGCTAGATGGTTAGATGGTGGGGAGTGCTGGAACAAGCCAGAACCTGGAGGAGCATCGCTATTTTAAGTATAACACCTATAACACAAACATTACCTCGGCAGCAGTCTCATGGTCCTGTTGGTGATAATTGTGTTAGATAGATTGAGGTACAGGACTCCAGGACAGCCTTCAGAGATGTATCTCATTGATTCATCCTGCATAAAAACAGAGGGAAGAATCTTATCAAAGTCTAACAGGGGATGCCTGAATGACTCAGTCGGTGAAGCATCCAACTTTGGCTCAGGTCATGATCTCACGGTTCATGGGTTCGAGCCCCGCATGGGGCTCTGTGCTGACAGCTTGGAGCCTGGAGCATGCTTCAGATTCTGTGTCTCCCTCTCTCTCTGCCCCTTCCCCACTAGTGCTCTGTTTGTCTCTCAATCTCTCTCTCTCTCAAAAATAAATAAACATTTTTAAAATTTTTTTTAAAAAGTCTAACAGGCTCTGTTATTTCCCCATGATCTCTCTACTATCTATCTCCCTGCTCCAAAAATACCATGCAAAGCTTGGTCTCTTCAATTCTTTGATATTGGTTGTAAGTCAAATTAAATAGAAGGTGATGGTTTTGTTTGAAGCTTCATTACTCTCTCCCCTTCCCCTTCTTTGGAAATCAAGTCCCATTTGATCACAGTGACACTTCGTTAAAATTTGAACCCTTGCAAGTTCAACTCTGACAGGAAATTTGAGCTTAAGTGTCAGAGTGTCAAACGCTCCTGACTCTTCAGATGCATGAAAGTGATTAAAACCTGATCTATTCTGAAATCATTCTGAAAGACAGGAATAGTAAATGTTCTCAACTGGACTTCATTAAAAGTGACTCCATATTTACACATATAAAGAAATGTGTGTGTGTGTGTGTGTGTGTGTGTGTGTAATTAAGTTTTTGTGGTTCTATTACTGAATTATTAAAACAGCTAAACAGATTCTCACCAAATTTATGGTAAGTTTGAGATGGCCTGAAGTAAAATATAGGCTACATACATGTTGAACGTGAAGTTCAGTGTTGAGGGTATTGTGGGCAACACTCTCAAAGATTCAAGAAACCCTCCCCCAGAGAGCTGAAACTGGGGTACCAGGGTACAATTCCACTATGACATAGATGAGACAGCAAAACAAATAGTGATTTCAAGCATGAGCCCTATCTTGGCATTTACAAGACCAGATCACTTGCAAGCTTTCATTGCAATGAACTCCTTCCCATATGGGTAACTACTTATAAAATGCTTTAGTATGAGTAAGTAGCAGCATGGTTTTTATTTATTTAATTATGGTTGATGAGTCTCCCTAGGGACACCGACAAGGTCAGCTCATTTTAAATATTTGTGGCACATCAGTCCTGGAAAGAATAGGCCATTGCAGGAAGAGGTAAATCGTCACTTGACTAGGGGATGTGGTTTGGGAAAGAATTCTGCATGTTCAGTATGGCCACCTCCAATACCACTAAGGATGGCAAAGGCTTATTTTCAGTGGGATCATCAGTGTTTAACGTTGTATTCCTAGCTATTTCCCAGTCAAGGATATTAAAATAACAAAATCATGCAGTTGTAAAAGCTGTAGTTCTGCTGTAGGGAAAGGTACAAGTACATGGCATGAGTACAAGGGCACTGTATTCTTGCCACTGCATTCAAGCTGCCAGTGATTTTTCTAGACACTCCAAACTAAAATGTGTGATTTAGATATACATAGATTGATTTAAAAAAAAGTATGCCGTACAAGTTTCCCAGAGGTATGGAGAGAATAACCATAACGAGCGGCATTGTACTTTAATATAAACAAAATCTATCTTCAAAAATGTTCATGGTACCAATCAAATATCAAAGTGGTTGTACACCTGTTGAAAGTCTCTGGCAAAAATGCAAATGAGTTGGGCAAGGAGAGGATAGAAAGCTGGTTTCTACACCCACCCTTAGAGAGGTAACCACAGAAAAGATGAAGAGCAAGATAAAGTATGTCTTCTGCACCATAGAGGAATCTGATTTTTCCTTTAAGATATGGAGGCAAACCATTTACTGGATTTTCCTGTCTGGCAGAGCTTGGATATCCAAAAAATTTCAGATGAATCCTATTCTCAGTGTTTAAAAGAACTCAAGTTTCAATCCCCAAACACTTGAGTACATAAACTCAAAAACTGAGTATCCTTATTGCAAAATGGTTTCTGAATTTGTCCACAATGCACTCAAATCTTTCTGAGTGTAATATATTCATAAGTCAAGTTTCTTAGAAATAAAGTTTTCTGAAAGGATGTTACATGGCTCCTTAAATGTAAACCTGTCTCCCCAGTCTATGTCTCAAAGAGAAAAACAATAGTAAAATGTAGCTGGATAAAATCAGCCCTGTATAGTATTAGACTCCAAAACTGGGAAAGACTTTGATGTTCACAAATTCAATCCGGATGGCATTGTTTTGACTTTCCTATTACCAAGCCATATTTCAAGACTGTGATCTGTTATTCAAGTGCAGAACTGAAGCTCCCTGAGGACAGGAACTGAAACTTGATTCATTTTAAGTTCCCTCTAACACCTGTATTTTATAGCATATAAACTCCCTGTATATCTTTATATATAAAAATAAATACATCTTTAATGTAGTAGGTACTAAAAATATCCACCGAATGAAACAGAAATTTGAAAGAAAGGACAATAATGATGATGCTGGGAGGTAGCAAGGAGGAGTCAAGGGTGTGGATGTCACTCTGGAGTTGCTGCTTAATGAAGCATGACACAGTCAGACTCCTCTGTTTTCACCCTGCTTCTCCCACTGTTCTTTCTGGAGATTCTTTGCTATTTCTTCTCTGTCTACTTCTAAAAGTCAGCAACGCCCCAAGTTTTACTCCTAAATTGTCTTCTCATGCCTTCTTTCTCTCTCTAGGCTGACCATATTCACTTTTGTGATGTTAACTAACCATACGAACATGTCAACCCAAGATGGAATCTCAAGTTCTGTGCCATGTTGTCCATTACCTGCTAGATGTCTCCATACAACTCCATTCATTAAACAAATGTATAGAGTGTTTACCATGCCAAGATCTGTGCTATGTGCTATGACTACCACAAAAAATAAGACACATCTCCTGTGCTTTGGGCCCCGTAGGCTACTGGAGGAGGCAGAAACACTGTGATTAGGGCTACTTATTAGAGGGACCCAGAGGAGCTGCAACAAACCCAGCCCTGGGAGTCAGTGATGTCTTGATAAAGCAAGCAGTACCAAAAGTAAGCCTTCAAGCCTGACAAAGAGGATAACAACACCTGAGGACAAAGCGAAAGGGCATTCCATGCCAAGAGCACAGGCTGAGCAAAAGTGAAACAGCAAAGAGCAGCTTGGCTCATGCAGCAAAGAAAGCATAGCAGTGCATGGTTGCTGCAGCTTAATGTAAATGCAGGGATTGGAGCAAGATGAGGCTGGAAAAGGAGGCAAAGCCAAGAGTACAGAGGGTGTTTGAGGTAGAGCTTGTTAAAGAGCTTTGACTTTATCAACAGTGTAGGTGACGAATGTGTGTATAAATTATGGAAAATGGGAGTGAAATAATCAGATCTTCCTTTTAGAAAGTGTATGTGCTCACAGGGTGGAAGACAGATTGCAAGTGAAAGAAAAGCTTGGAAAGAAGGCCAGGAAGGAGCTGCCCTGGGTTACATGTTCATTTCTGTCTTCTTTGGCACACACCTGATAGCTGTGAAGACCACTAAAATGAGCCTATTGTCTCTACTGGGACCCAGTTTTTTCTGTCTCAGACACACATGGCCTTAAATATAAATATAGTTCATTTTTGTGTAATTGTTGAATAGTTTCCACTTTCCAGAGACTCCAACCTTGGGCATATAGCTACAGGATGAATAATAAATAGCATTATACAAATGGGATAACATTTCTTGCCAATGTTTAACATAGTTTGCTTTTTTTACACATATGATCCTAAATGAGCAGACAGGCATGCATTTTGGCAAAATCTTTGTGTATTGGCACTCCAATATAGCAAGTCTGAATCTATATAAATAACAGTAAAATAAACTTCATATACTCACTGTGAGTGTTGGGCAGTCAGAGACATTCAGCTCTTGCAAATTTCTACAGAGGCCTAAATCAAACAAGTTAAACATTACTAAACAACATAGTACAAATGTTTAAACTTAAAATTTTTCCATCCTACATTCGATGCGATGTATTCATTAGAAAACAAACAAAAATCTTGGCATGTAACTTGTTCTAAGTATATGGTTCCTTTTCCCAGAAAACCGATTCCTCCTGGCTTTAAAATTAAAATATATACACATGTTTATTATTGCTTGAGGATTACAGAAGGAAGGGGAAAAAAGAAAAGTACTACTCTGGGAAAAACAGTATATACTTAGAGCTTTGAAGAAAACCAACCTGCTTATTTTGTGGCATGGCTTTTTGCTCATTTTGGGGATTTTGTTTTCTTTTATTATTTTATTGTAAAATTTTTCAAACACAGAAAAGTGGAAAGACTTGAAGATTTGTACAATGAATATACCCATTACCAAGATTCTATTTCTATTGCACGATATTTGCGTTATCACTTCTTCACCTACATATCCGTCTATCTTTCAATCCATCTTATTTTTATGCATTTTGAAGGAAGCTATAGGCATAAGGACACATCCCCCTCCTACCTCAGCATGCATATTGTAAATAATTCAGCATGCGTAATAATTAATAAAATGTTTAGGATTTGTTTAGATTAGATCTACATACAATTTATAATGAATTGCAGAGAAATGGAGGACCAGAAAGGCCAAGTGTCTGATTTGCTCTAGGACCAGGGGCAACTGTAGAGCTTACGGTGTCACAGGGAAGAGGACACATGTCCACAAAGAGCTGGGTAGCAAAGTGTTCTACAGTCAGCACTCTGGGGCTAGACCGACAGAAAGTACAACTCCAAATCTGAGACAGAAAACAAGCATCTAGGGGAGAGGACACAAAACAGTAAAGGAGAGGAACACTTGAGGCAAAGAGGGGAAAGTCATTCTAGGTGGAGGAGACCCCCATCGAGCAGGAAAACTCCAAACATCCTGGCATCCACACTGCTACAATGAATAGAAAACACATCTGCTGCTCATAACCACTTAGTCCCACAATAATAACAACAGAAATGTTATTAATTATAAATCGATTTTGAACATTTCTTCCTTTGCCAAGAATGGACTGTGTCCTAAGTAATAAATGCAAACCAAAACCACTTTCAGAATTTAAAAGTGAAAACAATTCTTTAAAATGTACAGATCTTGGAAGTCAGTAATACTCGTTAAGGAATAAAATAGATTCCCCAAACAATGCAATAACTAAATTTATGATATTAATATTTTTAGAGAATACTTACCTGAGAGTAAGTCATGCATTTAACAAATACTTATCAAGAACCTGTTACGTGGGGGCACCTGGGTGGCTCAGTCAGTTAAGTGACCGACTTGGGCTCAGGTCATGATCTCATGGTTTGTGGGTTCAAGCCCCGCTTGGGCTCTGTGCTGACAACTCAGAGCCTGGAACCTACTTTGGATTCTGTGTCTCCCTCTCTCCATGCACCTTCCCCTCCCCCACTCACACTCTGTCTCTCCCTCTCTCTCAAAAATATAATAAAACATTTTAAAAAATTAAGAAAAAACAAAGAACCTGTTATATGCCAGGAACTCTACAGGTGCTACAAGTACAGCAAGTGAACAAAACAGACAAAGGTCCCTGCCTTTAGGGAGTTCACATCCTCACTGGGGGAGGCTGACAGTAAACACAAGAAGTAAAATATCTACTTTGACAGGTGGTGATTAGTGCTGTGGAGAAAAAAAAAGAACATAGAGAGTGGCTAGCAAGTGGGAAGAGATGCCACTTGACACAGAGTGGTCATAGAAGGCTTTGCTCAGGTGACATTTGAACCAAGATGTGCAAGACTTGCTAAGGACAGTGCTGTTTACTTTGAGCATTTCTGTATCTCACATTCAATATGGTTGGTGATTGGGAGACAGTACAGGAAAGAAAAAACAAGCTCAGGAGAACAGCTGTTGGGGACCTACTTTTTTTTTTTTTGCCCATCTCAAGGCTGTTGGAAGTATCCCTTTCATTTCTTGAATCTGATGTGCTGATACATTACGTGTTTCAGTTTTCATAACGCTAAGCCCTGAACAGTAGAGTACTACTCCTGGACCAGGTACTGTGAAGTGTCTTACGTGCATGAGCCCGTTTCATTCTCCTAGCAATACGACGAGGTATCCTCAGCCCCATTTTTTTTAAGTTTACTTATTTGAGATAGAGAGTGTGAGCAGGGGAGGGGCAGAGAGAGAATCCCAAGCAGGCTCCACACCGTCAGCAGTGAAAAGCTCGATGTGGGGCTCGAACTCACGAACCATGAGATCATGACCTGAGCCAAAATCAACAGAGGTGTAACTGACTGAACCACCCAGGCACCCTACATCAGCCCCATTTTACAGATTCTGAAGTTGAGGTTAAATAAGTAGCCTGATGTCATATAGTTAAGCAAGCAGGAGAGTCTTCATTGAAACTCAGGGGCCAAACCGTTGGCCACTAAACCAGACAAGTGGGAGGGGGCACTCACCACTGTTCAGGATGTTCCTTTATTAATTGCAATGTCTTTGCTTAAGAGAAAAACAAAAAACTTATTGTGGTGATCATTTCACAATATATACAAATATTGAGTCATTATGTCACACACCTGAAACAAATATAATGTTATATGTCATTTATACCGCAATAAAAAAAATATACATATAAAGAAAATGAATGTTTTTTAAAAAGCTGCTACTATCTGTTAATAACACAATGTTCACAGTGGTTCTTCAGAGATGTTTTTCTCTTGCAACCTAGGGACTGCATCGGACCTCAGCTGGGTCTCATCGTTCCGAATTGCATTAGTTAAGATTACCCAAGCTTGCATTTCAAAGGAATACTTTCATTGTTCCCTCTGTCACCCCAAGTAATTGGGGCCAGCTGGATGTCAGGATGCGCGTGGTTACGGTGGTAATTCTGCTCTTCTTTTGTAAAGCCGCGGAGCTCCGCAAGGCCAGCCCTGGGGGCTCGAGAAGCCGAATGAATCATGGCCGGGCGGGTGGGAGCAGGAGAGGCTCCAACCCCGTCAAACGCTACGCGCCAGGCCTCCCCTGCGAAGTGTACACGTATCTTCACGAGAAGTACTTAGATTGTCAAGAAAGAAAACTAGTTTACGTGCTGCCTGACTGGCCTCAGGATTTGCTGCATATGCTGTTAGCAAGGAACAAGATCCGCATACTGAAGAACAAGATGTTCTCCAAGTTTAAGAGGCTGAAAAGCCTGGATCTGCAGCAGAATGAGATCTCCAAAATTGAGAGTGAGGCTTTCTTTGGTTTAAATAAACTTACTACTCTCCTCCTGCAGCACAACCAAATCAAAGTCTTGACAGAGGAAGTGTTCATTTATACGCCTCTCCTGAGCTACCTGCGTCTCTATGACAACCCCTGGCACTGTACTTGTGAGATGGAAACGCTTATTTCAATGTTGCAGATTCCAAGAAACCGGAATTTGGGGAACTATGCCAAGTGCGAAAGGCCACAAGATCTAAAAAACAAAAAGCTGCGGCAGATAAAATCTGAACAGTTATGCAATGAAGAAGAAAGGGAACAATTAGACCCGAAACCCCAAGTGTCAGGGAGACCCCCAGTCATCAAGCCCGAGGTGGACTCGACTCTTTGCTACAATTACGTGTTTCCCATACAAACGCTGGACTGCAAACGGAAAGGTTTGTAAGTTTCTTAGTTTTTCATTTTCGTGGACGATTAAAAATGCTCTTTGAACCTTATCACCCTCCCTACACTCCACCGTGCCTTGGGATTTCTGGTGTCACTTCCACCAGAAATCTTTTCCCGGTGACAATGGAATTTACTGCAAGCTTTTCTAGGGTTCGGACTCAACACGGTTGGGGTTTTGGGGGACAGTAGAGGAGGGTAGAAGGTATGCTCAGGAAGAGCAGCCAGTTGGGCGCTACTCTTGTTTGCTAATAAAACCTGTGGCTGTCAAGAATCCCCTTTATCTTAAATCACAATGTGGTATAATTTAGGCAGACCAGTGGGTATAAAGACAAGTCCAAATGCTGTCTATATAATGTGACTTAAAGCGAAAACATAGTGTGCGTCTGTGGGGAAATTACCTCCAGGAAAATCATGTGTGGAAGGGAACAGGTGAGAACACTGTGAGAGGGAGGCTATGTGGGATGTAATGGCGCGTCTGTACTTCTCAGAATTTGGCCTCAAGGTTTTTTGTTTGTTTTGAGAGCGAGAAAGAGAGAATCCCAAGCAGGCTCCATACTCAGTGCAGAGCCCAATGTGGGGCTCGATTCCATGACCCTGGGATCATAACCTGAGCCATAATCAAGGAGTCAGATACTCAACTGACTGAGCCACCCAAGCACCCCTGGTCTCAATGCTTGCTAAATGCTTGCTAACATCCTATATCTTCGTTGTTCCCAAGTTCCCCAAAATAAAACCTAAAAGTATTGAAAGAACTAAGCTGAAAATATTTAATCCAAGAAGTGTGAAGCTAAGAAAAGCTTTCCAGAATATTACCTACTTCCTGAAAAATCACTGCTGAGTTTTACATCCCACACAGTTTTGGTGTGGTGCTGCATGGGGCACATACAAGATTAATTCATGAAATAAGAAAGTGGGAAACTTTAGTAATGCTCTTGACAGGTTAGTGAAGACATTCTCAAAGTGTGGTCTGGGAACTGCTAGTCTACCCAAGGATAACCAGCCACAGGACAGTGTCTGTTTCATTTCTGGCATGGATTAATGACTTATTCGCAAAATTCAATTAAAGCTAGATGTCACAGGATCAGGGTCACATTAAAGCAGGATGTCATTCCTTCCACTTATTTTAGGAGGTTTTGCTTTGTTTTGTTTCTTTAAGAACAGAAAGAGAAGGTTAAAAGCAACATAGAGACCCTGACTCCTTTCCAGGGAACCAGAAGCAGGAATGTGTTGACACTGAAGAGGCAGGCAATCTGAACCAGGAGAAAATTTGTTCATTTATCAGCCAAGAACTGCACAAGCCTTGCCTCTCTGTCCCAGACTCCATAAGTGGCACCTGGTGAGAGCAAAGCACAGCCATGTGACATGGAAAGTTTTGCTTACTACAACACCCTGTGAGACGTGTATAATTTGGTGCCATAGTAGAACAATTACAGTGTCATGACCAGGGAGATGCCATGCCAGGATCCTCTGAACTGGAGAGCAACTGTTCACTAATTGAAAACCTATTCTCCATGCACTCCACACACATGTTCTGCATAGCTTCCAGTAAGGTAGCACTATCCCCATTTACAGCTGGGAAAAATGAAGCTTAGCGAGGTTCAGTGACTTGGTTGAGGTCTCACAGGTAAGCAGCAAAGCCAAGATTTGAAGGTTGGTCTGCCTGATCATGCCATCTTCTTTGATCACATTCAAGCAAACAGCTGCCTCACCAATGGAAAGATTAAAGAATTCTAGAAAAGTCAGTATATGCAGTTTCTCTGCAGCCAGATTGGGTGAAATTTCCCTGACCTTGTTACAGTGACTACTTAGTGTTTCATGCTGAAGAACATGTCTTATTAGCAATGCCTTTGTGATGCTTAGATTAAAAACTTAAATTACAGGGGTGTCTGACTTCGGCTCAGGTCATGATCTCACGGTTTGTGAGTTCGATCCCCGGGTCAGGCTCTGTGCTGACAGCATGGAGCCTGCTTGGCTTTCTCTGTCTTTCTCTCTCTCTCTTTCTCTCTCTCTCTCTCTCTAATAAGCATTAAAAAAAAAAAATAGACCCGGGGCCCCTAGATGGCTCAGTCAGTTAAGCTTCTGACTTCAGCTCGGGTTATGATCTCACGATTCATGAGTTTGATCCCTGTGTCACGCTCTGTACTGAGAGTTTGGAGCCTGGAGCCTGCTTCGGATTCTGTGTCTCCCTCTTTCTGCCCCTCCCCTGCTCGTGCTCTGTCTCTGTCTCACTCTCAAAACTAAAAAAGCATTAAAATTTTTTTTAAAAACTTAAATTACATATTTGAAAAACTAACACAAAGCTACTAATCCTAGACTTGGGTTAGAAAAATTACTTGATAAAGCTGAGGCTCTCCCCTCAAGCTAAAGATAATTTGCACTTGTTGCATCAGGTGATAAAGTTAAGTTTGCACAGTTAAGTTCATTGATTATCTGAGAAAAATGCCATCGACACAAAATCAAAGACTTCTACAGCTAGATTGCACTATAATTTAAGAATAGATAACGTGTTAGGAAATCTCTGCCATTTTTACTGCTTTACTGCTCTTGGGCCATTCAACCCCCCCACAATGAGCCTATTTCTGCCTTTGTCTTTTTTCCCATATTTTTGTCTCATATTCTTTTGGCAAACATCAACTTATAAAAACAGAAGTATTTTCTGTTTTCTTTCCTCAACTTATTGTTGTCTAAACACGACCTTCCAGATATGCCCTGTAAACTCATCTCCCTTGTGTTAAAATACACCTATTTACTGGAAACAATACACACTATATATATAATGATACTGACTCATACATGAAAGGACAATTCAAGTTCCTCCAAACGTTCATGACTACACAAAGGAGAGCATATGCCATTTATATTACAAAATGAAGGGCAATTTTGTCTTTTAATATCATACATATAAATTGCCTTCACTATTGATATAAATTTATGAATCAGTTGATAGTTTATTTTTTGTAAAAGCCATGGTCTTGTCTCTGACACCCCCTGTACTCTCAGGTACTGCCTGGAACAGGGCTATGTGCTTTAGACTGATGATAATAACTGTGCTGCCTTCTTTGCTCTTGCAAAGGCAGTAATTTAAGCAACCTTTAAAAATAAAAATACATAGAATTAAAAATCATGGCTAGAATTCAAGTATGACAATCTGTATTTAATCTGTAATTTTCCTACTTCCATTCTATAAATAGATAACAAATGTCAAATACTAAGAATGTTCAGCAATTCATTTCTAGTTCCCTGCCAAAGAGTAGTAATACTTTTGCTTATGCTCTACGTGTTAGATACTATGGAGAATCTAAAGAAGCCCAAAACATGCTGTCCAAGGTGGAACCAGCAGTGGTGTTAGTGAATAAAAGCTGTCTGCTAAAGGCTCTGTGTGCCTAAGACATAGCGATTTACATGCATTATGTAATTTACTATTCAGCCTTCAAGGAGCACTATTACTACCCTCACAAAGGAGGAACCTGAGGTGTAGAGAAGGTAAGTTGCCCTTCTAAGGTCCCACAGGCAGTCCCAAGCCATTGACCACCATGCAATGTCATCTCTTCCTTCATGATTCCAGGTACATCAACCAAGAAAAATGTATAAAAGCTTTCTGGGTGCTTTCTCCCAGTACTGATTCTCCTTTTTTTTTTTTTAATTTTTAAAAAATGTTTATTTTTGAGAGAGAGAGAGAGAGTGAGAGCGGGGGAGGGGCAGAGAGAGAGGGAGACACAGAATCTGAAGCAGGCTTCAGGCTCTGAGCTGTCAGCACAGAACTCGACGTGGGGCTCAAACCCACACACTGTGAGATCATGACCTGAGCCGAAGTCAGACACTCAAGCAACTGAGCCACCCAGGCACCCCTACTGATTCTCCTCTTAGGCTCTGTCTGATATACCATGTACATGAGCACACACAGAAAACCCAAATACAGATTACCCTAACTCAGAAGTTGTGCCTTTCCCAGCTGACAGATGATGAGTCAGATGGTGTGCATAGGGCACCTAATATGTGCCAGTTTGACCACACAGACCTCAAAAATCACTAATTTTGCTTTAAACGTTGGACAGCATGAAAAAAGAAATAATAGCTTTATTCACTGGGGGACAGGCAGTTTGCCAACAAAATGTAGTCTTCCAAAGGGAATAAATGTGAAATTAGTTGAAAGGCAAGTTTATGCCACATTGAGGTAAATGTATTTGCCAAAAGACATGAAAGAATTGAAAACTGCATTTTTAGCTTTATGTTTACCAGAATCATTTACAATTTATAAGGATTCATTTTACTTCTGAGATTTGGACTGGGGGGAATTATGCAGGTAAGGTACTCTCAGCTGCCTTTGAAGTTAATTTCATCGCTAGTTTAACAATGATTAATAATTTTTTATTTGCAAAATCAGGGTTATTTATGCCTCTTTGCCTACTACCACCGAGCCTTCAGAGTAGTTCTGATATTACTGACAACTAAGATATTGCAGTCCCACTAAGGGGCGCCTGGGAGCATAGTCAGTTGGGTGACCAACTCTTGATTTCAGCTCAGGTCATGATCTCACAGTTCGTGGGTTTGAACTCCAAATCAGACTCCACACTGACAGTGTGGAGCCTGCTTGGGATTCTATCTCTCCCTCTCTCTCTCTGTCCCTCCCCAACTTGTGCATGGTCTCTGTTTCTCTCTCTAATTAATTAATTAATTTAAAAAGATAGCCCACTAAATGGGAAATTACATGGAGAAATTTTCCCAGTTCACTCCTCAGACTCAGCAAATTTTGGTTGGGGAATGGTGAGGTTTGTCAAGGGTGACGATAGAGTAGATGAGGTATGTTTTGAGTGTTTACCAAGAATTTTAGGTAGCAGCAAATAACAATGTGGTGCCTGGTCTAGAAATAGGGACATTGACCAAATTTGACTTGTGGCTATAATCTTTATCATTTTACATTTTACATCATTTTACATCACTATTTGCAATTTTCATTCAAGTTTAAGATAAAAGAACTAAAGAATTGTTTTTACTCGTCAGTACAACAAATAAGATTTTTCCATGGTTTTTCTAAGCCATACTAGCAAAGGCTTTGGGTTGTATATCCTGGTTTACTTGTGGATCCTATTTTTACCCTATTTTTACTGCTGACAATGCCAAAGTTGGTTCTGCAATTCATAGTCCCTTTCCAGCATCCACAGGCCCTGTCATACTGCTTACACTGAGTTTCAGGGAGTTCTCATAAACTATTTTTTCTACCCATTTATTTGTGGTTTACCCACTTCAGCTTGTCCCACAGTGGTTACTTGGGAGGTCTCTGTCATCCACCCCATGTCCAACCCAACAGATGTGGATTCAGCAAGCAAATCCTGATAAACAGCCTGCTTTCCAAAACCTAGGAGATACTGCCTGTGGTGGCAATGAAGATCGACAGTTTTCAATGGCCTTATAGGACCTTAATGAGGACTTGAGCTTTTATTCATAGTAAGATGGGAACATCTGGTGGATTAGAAGCCATCTGGAGAATTGACATGGTCGTATTTATGTTTTGACTGTTTAACATGGGCTTAGGACACTTTGGGGATAATCCAGATAAGAGCTGATGTTGACTTAGACCAATGTGGTAGCAATGGAGGAACTGAGAAGAGGTAGGATCTTGGGTATTTTGAAATAAAACTCTATTCTGCTTTTAAAATCTTGCTAAGAAGATGCCACAGCCATTTTCAATAATTATTCCAAACACTATAATGTCCACAAATTATTTCTTTGATTTGTCCTCCGTTGTCTCCGTGGTTTTTAATTATTGCTGGGATCTCCATTTACTTGTTTAAATGTAGGACCCCAGAGAGAATATAGCTCTTCACTTGGGGTCTTGATGATCCTAAAGGGAGGAATACCTCACTGTTGGAACATTATAAATTCAAGACTTAAAATCTTTCACCTTTCAATTATATTGGCAGACATAATTCTAAGTCAAACAGAATAGTGCCTTACCAAAAGACAAAAATAAGATCACTCCATATTTTTTTATTTTTATTAAAAAAAATTTCTTTTAACATTTATTTACTTTGGAGAGAAAGAGAGAGACAGAGGCATGAGCAGGAGAGGGGCAGAGAGAGGGAGACACAGAATCCGAAGCAGGCTCCAGGCTCTGAGCTGTCAGCACAGAGCCCAATGCGGGGCTCAAACTCAGACCATGAGATCATGACCTGCACTGAAGTCAGACACTTAATTGACTGAGCCACCCAGGTGCCCTGATCGCTCCATATTTTAAAAGGATTTTTATTGGGGTGCCTGGGTGGCGCAGTCGGTTAAGCGTCCGACTTCAGCCAGGTCACGATCTCGCGGTCTGTGAGTTCGAGCCCCGCGTCGGGCTCTGGGCTGATGGCTCAGAGCCTGGAGCCTGTTTCCGATTCTGTGTCTCCCTCTCTCTCTGCCTTTCCCCCGTTCATGCTCTGTCTCTCTCTGTCCCAAAAATAAATAAACGTTGAAAAAAAAATTAAAAAAAATAAATAAAAGGATTTTTATTACAAAAGTGCTCAGTATCCTGAAATCATCAAACTCAATTTTCATGAGCTCTTATTTACAATGTATTATATGTGATGAACTACCCCAATACTTAGTGGCTTGATACAACACACATTCATTATCTCACAGTTTCTGTGGGTCAGGAAACCAGACATGGCTCAGCTGAATCCTCTGCTTGCAGATCCTTCACAAGGCTGCAATCAGTGTGTTCACCAGGACTCACGTCTGTGGTCTCATCTGAAGACTCAACTGGGAAAGGCTCCTCTTCCAAGCTCATGTGGCCATTGGCAGAATTCAGTTCCTCAAGGGTTGTTGGACTGAGGACCTGAATTCTTTGCTGGCTATTTGCCAGAGGCTACATTCCTTGCCACGTGGGCCTCTCCAATATGACAGCTTACTTTATCAAAGTGAGCAGAAGAGAATCTGCTGGCAAAATAAAAGTCATAATCTCTTGTAACCTGATTGTGGAAGTGGCATCCAGTGACATTTGCTGCATTCTATTTTTGGAAGCAAGTCATGGGTTCAGGCCATATTCAAAGGAGGTATTTACACAAGGGCATACGTATTAGTAGAGAAGAACATGGAGTGCCTTTTCAGAAGCTGTCTGACACATATGATTTGTTTAAGATATATTAGGCATTGTCCTAAGCCTCCACCATGAAGCTTCTATGGTGGGGAGGGGACAAAAATGAAAACAATCAGTAAAATGTATACTACATCTGATGGTGATAACTTACCATTGAGGAAAAGCAGGGAGTATTTGTTACTGCTAAACTGATAACAGGAGACATCATTTTAAATACAGAGCTAGGAAGTTCTCATGGCCACCCAGTGTATTGACTCCACCTCAGTTCCTCCCCCACTCCAACTTTACCCTGTGCCAGGCTTGAGGATTCAAAGGCAGATGGAACAGCATGAAAGAAACAGAAAAGTACCAGGAGCAGAGTGGTTAGAAGCATATATTCTGAAGCTAGCATGTGTATTTAAATCCTAGGACTATAACTACAGGCAAATTGTGCCTCAGCTTCCTCATCTGTAAAATGAGAATAATCATACTTAGCCCATAGGGTTCTTGTCACTTAATACTTGTTAGAACATACAGAACACTTCCTGCACATAGATACCAAGATACTAAGATCCCATCGAGATGAGAAAGCAAATTTAACAGTAATAGAGATACTAAAGAAGGATTTACCAATTCCATTCCATTTAAGACCATGGATTTGGGGTTTTAAAGGGGAAAAAATAAACCTGAATCTTTATGAAAATAAATACACTATGGGCTAAGAAGTCATAAATACCAGAGTTTTGGGTTTTTGGGGGTTTTTTTAGTATTTTGAAGAAATTATCAGCAATTCAATTATCCTGTTCCAAAAATATTATCATGGATAAATGGATACCACCTTTTATAAGCTTATTTTCTGTAACCAATTCAACAAATTTTATTCACAAAGCCTTTGGGTCATGCTATTTCTCAGTTATCAGTTAATCTGGATATTTTATTACTTCTAGTTTTCTTTTGTGGAAACAGGCTTGTGTCTCTTCACAGTTCTCACTTGCCCTACTTAAAATTAAATAAAACCTCCTTACACTATCTTGCCAATGATTAAGAGGGCAAATACTACACTAAAATATAAAATAACACTATATTTTTTAGGAACTCCTGAGTGGCTCAGTCGATTAAGTGTCCAACTGTGGCTCAGGTCATGATCTCCTGATGCATGGGTTCGAGCCCTGTGTCAGACTCTGCTGACAGCTCAAAACCTGGAACCTGCTTTGGATTCTGTCTCCCTCTTCCTCTGCCCCTCTTCTGCTCACGTTCTGTCTCTCTCTCTCTCCCATCCTCCCAAAATAAATAAACATTAAAATATTTTTTAAAATAACACTATATTTTTTAAAGCATAATTTAAAGAGAAATGTAAATAGAGACAAATTAGGTGAACCTTGATTTCCTATTAACCTGTGAAAGATAACCTGGACTCCTCTTCCAGAGGCTTTTTCTCTAGTAGTAGTAACAGTAATAGTGTTGTTGTTCCTGAGGTGTCTGGGAGTCTAGGAGTGCTGGAATATAAACTAAGTCACAAGGATTCAGGGAATACATGCTGAGGAAGAAACAGGGGGCAGCAGGTCAGGACTACGCTTCCTCAAATTTTAGCATCCAGGGAAAGGAGCCATAAGATCAAGGTCAAAAGCTTTTTGTTAATTTTTTAAGGGTAGAGAGACCTGAGCACTTTTTGTTAGCAGAAAAAATCGAAGTTGAGGAATGAAATGAAAACACAACCCAGGGGCAGCAGTTAATAGTGAAAATTCCTTCCTTAAGCAGATGGGAAAGGATTGGAAGGGACACACATAGAGTGGTTTGATTGATTTCACTTCCTTTTAGCTTTTTTTCCCCCTAAAGCTTCCCAGGTGCTTCTAATGGACAGCCAGGAGTGAGCCCCACCGCCATGTCTAGGACATTTCTCTGAACAGCTCAGCAAGGAGTGATATCCATTCCTCTAAGCCTGACACACCTGGTCCAGGAGGCTTTGTTGGAGTTAGCACATTCTATGTCTCATTCATACCAGTGTTCTTTAGCTTTAGATGATCCCTTTCCCCTTTATCTTTAAGAGTTGACCCTTCAACCACAGGTGGAACAGTAACTAAGAAGATGGCATGGGAGGAAACCTCGATAACCAGAATGTTATTAATTTTTCCAGAGCTGAAGAAAGTTCCAAACAACATCCCTCCAGACATTGTTAAACTTGACTTGTCATACAATAAAATCAACCAGCTTCGACCCAAGGAGTTTGAAGATGTTCATGAGCTAAAAAAATTAAACCTCAGCAGCAATGGCATTGAATTCATAGATCCTGGTAAGTTCCACAGAGTAGCCCTTTAAATGGGTGATGAGTATTCTCTGGGGTTTTTCCCCCCTTTATGGCAACATGTATGGTAAGTACAATTTAGTTTTGAAAAACCTATATAATGAAAATTTTAAATTAAACATGATGCCTAAATCAGAATTTGTTTGGTACTCAGAGAAATATTTACCAAAATGTTGCTTTATGAAGGATATAATACTGTATATTACTAAGCAACAGTTATTCAGTTGGTCCAAATAAGTGTTTTGTAGAATGGATTTTAAAAATAAGAATATGTGGTCAATAATATGTTAAACATGTAGTGACTTTTAAAGAGAAATTCAGATTTGGCATTTTCTTTGCTATTCATGAAGTTCCAATTTGTTTAAAGTAAACTTAAAACAATCTGCTAAGTACCAAGCTCATAAATTCATATAAAATGTGTTCAAGCCAGAGCCAGATGTATTTTATCTAATCCCAGATCCAGATTAATTTTCTTTCCCATCCCTCAAATCTCTTCTCCATTTGCTAATAATAAAGCCTCTGGCGAAAATGAGCATGTTAAGTAAACACACTGGATTTGGAAAGAACTGAGAATTACTGCAATATTGATCAGATTTGGAACATACATAACACACATGCCTTCATAGTGCTGCTTCAATATGAAAACTCCAGTCTATAAAAATGATTATTGATACTATTAATAATATAATGTTAATGTTATAAATGTTTTCAATTCAGTTGTTACTTCTACTTTGCTTAATGATAATTTAATGCCATTAATAGAACAGTAGGATTTTAACATTGTAGAAGTACAAATTGAGAATGAATGTTCTGGAGCTGCAAAGGCATATTTTAGTATTTGTAACATCTTTTAAAATATTGAGAAATCATAATTTAAGGGGTGTCTGGGTGACTCATTCGGTTGAGCATCCAACACTTGATTTTGGCTCAGGTCATGATTCCAGGGTTGTGGGATTGAGCCCTGCATCAGGCTCTGCACTGAGCTTGGAGACTGCTTGAGATTATTCTCTCTCCCTCTCTCTGTCTGTTCCCCGCTCACACTTGCATTCTCAAAAAAAAAAATCATAATTTAAAAATTTCCCAAAGGAACAGCATTATGCTACACTTATACCTTAGCCTGTATAGACTTGGGGGTGTCTTTAAATCATGAGGTCAAAAGCCATTTTCATTTCACAGTGAATAAGAATACAACAGAGATATCCTTCTCCCAAATGAAGTGATCATCATGTTAGTGTGGAGGTCAGTGACTGATAGCCAGTCTCCACAAAGCCAGGCCACAGGGTGAAGAATCTGGAGATGGAGACCCTCTCTTGCTGCAAGAGAACCAAAGAATTGCAAGACAAGCATGCCTTGTCACAGGTCCCTGGGCTTTCACGTATCCAGAGCATCAGTGCAATCGAGTTTTAGAGTTATCTCTAAAAGAGACTGAAATGTTTGTTATTCTAATGGCCTAAGTTAAATTTATTAAAGGAGTGAGTAATGGTACAACAATATTTTAATTGTAATGGAACCAGTGTATAAAGAAAACTAGAGTAAAATGAAAAAACAGTGTAGAGATAGATAATAATGCAACGTGGGTTTGTTTTACTTCGAGTGATATTTTTCCCTCATCAACTATGAAGTTCCCATAATTGCAAGGATTCCTTTACCATCCTTGAGATCTCCTGAAGCCTCCTGAACTTGTTTACCCAATGTGTTTTCCTTGCTGACTCACAAGGTGAACTCTTGTTACCAGCAATAGTATTCTTGTTTTCTCCTTTGTTCAATTCAGTCCCAGGAAGGTATTTTCTACATTAACAAATATGTGTTCAGCACCTGCCAAACGCCAGCCACTTTCTTGGTATGTCTTCTGGAACAACAACAAAAAAATCTCCACACTTCAATAAGTCAAAATAGCCTAAAGAAGTTTCTAAAATAAAAGACCTTCTATATTTCAGGACCTATGAGATGAAACAGTGTCAAAGTAAACTCTGTTAACTACTTATGTTAGCAGGTATACAAATGCAATGAGATTTACTGGGGTCTTTTAATGTTTATTTATTTTGAGAGGGAGCAAGCACGGGAAAGGCAGAAAGAGAGAGAGGGAAGGAGATAACCCCAAGCAGCTTCCACACTCAAAGCCGATATCAAGAGTTGGGCACTTTACCAACTGAGCCACCTGGTGATTTACTGGTTTTAAAAGGCATGAAATAACACTCTCATAAAATGCCAGACTTTATTGCAAAAGAGAGAAAGAAGACACCCTATTAAGGATTTATCTCCTTTGAGAAACAAATGAAAACCAGCTTTCCCAAATGCCTGAATACATATGGTTTAAGTAAAAACTATAGTACTTTCAAAATAAAATCTAGGAGTGTTTTCACATGCTTTCAGTCTAAAGGGCTGACTTGTTTCAAGGAAAGTAAATTGTGAGATCATTGACTTACACAGTGTTGGCAAATAGGGGGGAAAATGCAGTGTCTTCAAAGGTGTCATTATACTGGCTGACGTTTTGCTCCTCCCCAGCCCCTGCCCTCTCCCAGCACTCCCACCCAGGCCATTGCTTTTGCACCAAAGTAGAAAGAATTCTTTTTAGGGGAAATTATGCATTTTGTCTGAGAACAAATGATATGAAAATGGTTCATGATATTGGTATTAGAGCACATTTTCCAAATCCAAAATACGGACATTATATACCCTAAGTATTTTAAAACAGTATTAAGGGGTTCTGGGTGGCTCAGTTGGGTTAAGCATCCAACTCTTGATTTCAGCTCAGGTCATGATCTCTTGGCTATGAGATGGAGCCCCATGTTGGGCTCTGTGCTGGGCGTGGAGCCTACTTAAGACTTTCTCTCTCTCTCTGTCTCTCTTCCTCCTTCCCTCCCTCCCTCAAAAATAAATAAATAAATAGACAAACAAAAAACCGTAATGAGAAAATGTTTGAAATAGCAGCAAAATGTTTGAAATCAAAGTTGACCAGTGAATTCTAGGGTTAGTCCACATCAACTAAAATCTATGTTTAGATTTCCTTTTTACTCCTGGAGGGGGAAAAAGAGTTTTGTTGTCTTATTTCGTGTTACATATTTGATATTTGCTAATTACGCACCCTCCAGCAGAATTAAATACATATGGATTCAGAACTGATAGCTACCACAGCTTGCCAAAACACAACCAGATGTTTTCAAAATGTTGATAAAAATTGTTTAGTTTTAGACTCTACAGGAGTATCATTCCCTCCCCCTAAAAAGGGAAAAGCTTCTTCCTAGGCATTTTCAGAGTTTGCTGTTGTCCCAGGGAACTGTCAGATCATCACCATACACATTTTTTCATTTTTTATGCACTTATGTCTTACATTTGAAATATTTTCCTAATTCATGCCTTTTTTTTTTTTTGTGGCATCTTTCCAGTGAGTATTTAAAAAATGCACATGAGCCCAGAAACCATTTTTAGAAAGCTAACATAAAAGTGATTTTTGAAATAAAATATTGTAGCCAATTAAATCAAGGGAAAAGCTTTGTGTGAGCAAAAACATACTCTGGAATTTTGCATTGAGACACGTTACCGTTACGAAAATATAATTAAGACCAAAATCCTCCAACACGGAAATTCTCTCCACAAAGGTAGTTGAGGAAAAAAGAAAACATTTATTATTGAATAAGCATTAAACCAAGATGTGACGCACATCACGGGCAATCTTCTAAGCGATTGCAAAGCTGAAACGCAATACTTACATGTTTTCAGGATAAGTAACTCGTCCTCAAGTGAGAGGGCTTGACAGCATTCTTTGTCATACATGGGGCATCTTCACTCTATCTGGTAAGTGAGGTGGCCAGTTATGTTAGCTAATTGGCTTTACCCAGAGGAAAACAAATTCCATCTTCGTGACTAAGGAGCAAGGCCCCTACCCTCCCTCAGAAACTGGGAGATAAGGGTACTGGCCCCCCTGACGTTTACATTTCAAAGAGATGGCTCTCAGGTCCTTGAGGAAGACATTCCTGGCTCATAAAGTTGACAGAATCCCTGGTTAGGTTTCTAAAGGATATGTATACATTTCAAAGAGAGGATAAAGTACTTAAAATTACAAGTTTTCTAAAGTAAAACTCTGAGAAAAAGGAGAGGAGGGAATTTTTTTTTTCCGACAAGGAGAATTAGGTCTCTCATTTTTGTGTATATGTCCTTATAATACGCCATACAGTTGCATGTAACCCAGCTACTCATTGCGTTAATAACTACTTTCTGTTTCTAGCTGCTTTTTTAGGACTCACACATTTAGAAGAGTTAGATTTATCAAACAACAGTCTACAAAACTTTGACTATGGCGTATTAGAAGACTTGTATTTTTTGAAACTCTTGTGGCTCAGAGATAACCCTTGGAGATGTGACTACAATATCCACTACCTCTACTACTGGTTAAAGCACCACTACAACGTCCACTATAACGGCCTGGAATGCAAGATGCCTGAAGAATACAAAGGGTGGTTTGTGGGAAAATATGTTCGCAGTTACTTTGAAGAATGCCCCAAAGACAAATTACCAGCCTACCCTGAGACATTTGATCAGGATCCGGAAGATGATGAATGGGAGAAGATTCATAGGGATCACACAGCCAAGAAGCAAAGTGTAAGAATCACTATAGTGGGATAACTTAGGAATTGTTTTGGTTGCAACTGGTTTTGAATTTGCTATACCGGTGTCAGAAAACCATATGTTTACATTTTGATTAACTGTGTTGCCTATTTATGCAGGGTTATCCAGTTACAGGAAGGTTCCCTTAATTATTATTTTTATTGTGAGAAATTCTAGCAACCAAGGGAATACTTCCATCCCGCTTGCCTGCCTGTTTGCAGACCGGCCTTTGGTGACGGTTCCACACTGGTAAACTGCGGGAGTTGGGTCCGAATGATGGCATTGGAACTTCATAACATCCTGTATATATGTTTTTACTGCCTTTTGAAAATAAAATTTTAAAAAACTTGGTTCATTTTTATATGCCTTGTGAGAGCTGCTTGTACACACCTAAAGATGATCAAAGTGAAAATATATGAGCGCTTAGGAATAATAAAATATCATTCTCTCCCCTCTGCCCCCTCCCACTTTTTTTTCCAGCAAGTCAGCTTATACATAGAATAAAATTCCATTTCTGATTCCTGTGCATTCCAAAATGTGATCCTGGCAAACCCAAATTTTCAAGTGCTCTTCACTGATTCTTGCAAAAAACAAAACAAAACAAAAAACTGTCAAGCTAGACCTGAAGGAGAATTGTCACAAACAATAAATAAGAGAATCTGAGATTATATTGGAGACTGGTCAGAAGATGGGACTCAGAAGAAGTTGTAGATGGTGTGAATCATAAGCAACGAAGAGGTATAAACACTAGTGAATGTGGAAATAGTGCTGATTTTTGAAAGAATTCAGACTGGGGAGCCACCTGCCAGTGGGAAATGCCTGAGCCCTTCCTGCTAAGCTAATATGTCAAGCATAAACAAAGGATGAAATTAGAAATCAGGGTCAGGGGGCACCTGGGTGCGCAGTCGGTTAAGGGTCCGACTTCAGCCAGGTCACAATCTCGCGGTCCGTGAGTTCGAGCCCCGCATCAGGCTCTGGGCTGATGGCTCAGAGCCTGGAGCCTGTTTCCGATTCTGTGTCTCCCTCTCTCTTTGCCTCTCGCCTGTTCATGCTCTGTCTCTCTCTGTCCCAAAAATAAATAAACGTTGAAAAAAAAAATTTAAAAAAAAGAAATCAGGGTCAGGATTTGGGATGAGGTAGAAGCAAACAGGAGGCAGTGATATCAATAGCAACTAAGTAAGGAGGCAGTGTCCAGGAGAAGCCCCATGATATGGGTTTGCAGGTTAGAAATCACTCACCCGGAGAAGCAGATCAGCACAAAAAGAGGAAATGCCTGGAGACAAACCCCATCAGCTTGTGTTTTGATAGTTAGCTCTACTATTACAAAAATAAAATGAAAAGAAATATATACATATCCTTTACAATACCACTTTTTTCGGGATACCTGGCTGGCCCAGTCAGTTGAGCAACTCTTAATCTCAGCTCAGGTCGTGATCTCACAGTTCATGGGTTCGAGCACACGGTGGGCTCTGCACTGACAGTGCAGAGCCTGCTTGGGATTCGGTCTCTGTCCCTGACCCTGACCCACTCTTTCTCTCTCTCTCTCTCTCTCTCTCTCTCTCTCTCTCTCAAAATAAATAAACTTAAAAAAAATTTTTTAAACAACTTTTTCCTTTTTATAGACATTTCCCTTTCACTCTGAGTTGAATACATTTTCATTCTTCTATCAAGGTATTCCTACAAAGTTTAGCAACTGGTCTCATTTGATCCTTGCATAAAGCATACAAGATAGTATATGACAAATAGTTTCTTTCATATACAAATAGTATATGACAAATAGTTTCTTAAGCACCTACTAGATGCCATACACTGTGCTAAAAGCTTCACATACTCTATTTCTAATTCTCAACAAGATCCCTCTGGGGGAGGTAATACTATCTGTCTTTTCTAGATGAGGAGTCCAAAGCTTGGAGTTTAGGTAGCTTGGATAACATCACAGAGCTGGCGGGTGACAGAGCCAGCATTCAGGTCCATCTTAGCCCTGGCTGCCGGGCAGGTGTGCAGAGCACTCTCACAGTCACTGTTGGCCACGGCTGCCTCACATCAGAACTTGCAGAATCAGACCCCAGAAGAGGAATAGGTACCAGGAAAGTTAAGCCTTTTTGTCCAGAAACACCCGCGAGGGCAGCTGGCAGGAGAGAGTCTTTGGCCCAAGTCGTTTAGTACGTACCAGAAACCAAGAGAATGGGATGCTGGAAGAATTGCTGGAGCTAGTGGTTCAGGGAAGGACCCTAGATTATGAGGTTCTAACCACTCTGCCCATTTTACCAGTGGTTGGAATTAGGGGGAGAGACTTATGCATACTTGGGTCTCAATGCAAATCTTCACCTTACTGTTCAATCTGTTACCAGAGTGTGAACGTTCATGAACACTCAGAATAGTAAGGACACAAGACCTGAAACAGCCAAGATGTGACGGTGGAAAAAGCCTGAGTGGGACCTCAGTAGGAGACCAAGTCACGTGGTAGGGACACAAGGGTTCTGGGAGGAAAAAAAAAGAGATTAAATCCGATTCAGACAAAGGGCCCATGTTACTCTCTGGTTCAATTTTTGGAGGCTAGTTGGTGATTTGGTTGATTTTTATCGACAGTGTCACCCTCCAGGTCTAATTGGAAATAAAGTGCTAGCAATGCATAGAAATTGATCCAGACCATCCAAAAGTAAGTTAGAGTTGTTAGTATCTCCCAGGACTGAAATTGAAGTACATTTTTGAAAGCTTAGGATTTGCCCCTTCTCTGTATCAGAGTTTATACTTTTCAGGGAAGTATAGTTGATCAATGATGGAATGAACAATTAGGTACATCCCCTTCTGCCAATTTCTTGATAGTTTAATAACTTGCCTTTGAAACTGCCTTCTGTTCAATAGATGATGAGGGTCAGGAGATTTAATTTTTTTTTTTTTCAACGTTTTAATTTATTTTTGGGACAGAGAGAGACAGAGCATGAACGGGGGAGGGGCAGAGAGAGAGGGAAACACAGAATCGGAAACAGGCTCCAGGCTCCGAGCCATCAGCCCAGAGCCTGATGCGGGGCTCGAACTCACGGACCGCGAGATCGTGACCTGGCTGAAGTCGGACGCTTAACCGACTGCGCCACCCAGGCGCCCCAAGGGTCAGGAGATTTAAAAAAATAAGTATATTTTGTGGCAGTCAAAAATATAATAATCCTGAGAACTACATATTTGAACGTACATGTTTAAATGTCACTTGGCTATTTATCCAAATGTTACTTGAGTTTTTGGATAAATACTCAAGTTTTGTTTTGTTTTAACTTTCCTGCTAATCCTGAAATTCCCTAATTTTTCTGAAGTAAGTAAGATTCACTTCAAGCTGAGGTCTCTTGAGTCCTAAGTCTGAGTCAGCTCAGACCTACTGCCTGGTTATTTGGGAAAGATATTTAACATTAACCAGTTCAGAGTTTTCATTTACTAATCATTCATCCTCTGGAGCTTTATGCCCTATATCAACTAACATCTGTTTCTGAAAAATCTGTTTCTCCTGCTCTGGCAAATAGAAGCAATTCAGTACTAAGAATCTACTTGCCTAAATTCTATGAGACATCGAGGCTCCTTTCTTCAGGAGGTGTGGGGTATTGGTGTGTACAGGAAGATGTAATATGTGACTAACAAATCCGTATCAATGCTAGAATGAATAAGAACAACACGAACGTGGCAGGCAGACTGGAAAATTACTTCATAATCCCGTTCAAAAAAATGTCAATATTGTATCTCACAAATTCTAGAAGCATAAACATGCAACTCCAAGGGTATCCACAAGTCAAAGTTTCTTCCAGACTGCTCTAATCTTGCAGTCATTGAGTGAGTGTAGAAAAATTAGGGATGGCTCCTCATCCCTAATATATCTGTTTTACTCCAGCACAACAACACAACTGCTGAACTTAAAAATCACTTGTGGGGGCGCCTGGGTGGCTCAGTTGGTTAAGTGTCCGACTTCGGCTCAGGTCATGATCTGGCAGGTTCATGAGTTCAAGCCCCACGTCGGGCTCTGTGCTGACCACTCAGAGCCTGGAGCCTGCTTCAGATTCTGTGTCTCCCTCTCTCTCTGCCCCTCCCCTGCTAGTGTTGTGTCTCTCTCTGTCTCAAAAATAAATAAACACTAAAAAAAAAAAATCACTTGTGTACCCTTGCCAAACATTTGCTAAAGTGTTTTAGCATATACTCTGCACACTTGATTGTCACAATATTAGAGCAAGCATTTTCTCCCCTGCCTTCATCTGCCTTTTAAACATTTTAAGATAACAATTTAAAGCTAATTTTATTATAGAGTTTTTGCAGACCAGGATTTTGTACAACTCTTGTGGCCATTCAGCCAAACAGCTCAAATAATCAGCCAGTATTTATCTTCAATGTAACGGTCAGAAAGTCAAACTTCTTGCCAAAAATGTGTGTAATTCTAGACACACCAACAGACTAACCTTAGCTGGGGGGAAAAATTGAAAAGCTGAAACATCTCTGAGATTGGGTTTTATTTAATCTTTGATACACTCGAGGTAGCTGGAATTAAAACTGATTTTATTAAGTAATCCTTAGCAAATTGAAAATATCACAAAGATGAGATAAGCATTACATTTACTCCCTTAGAAAATTAAGGTCTACTCAGGCTTTCATGTTTAATTTTTTCCATGATAAAGGCATTTTTACCAAGAATTACACTTCTAGAGAAATACTAAATTAAAAAATTTTTTTTAAGTTTATTTCTTTATTTTGAGAGTGAGCAAGCATGAGCTGGGGAGGGGCAGAGAGACAGGGAGAATCAGAAGCAGGCTCTGCACACTGCCAGCACAGAACCCAATGTGGGGCTTTATCTCACAAAAAGTGAGATCATGACCTGAGCCAAAATCAAGAGTCTGCCACTTAACTGACTGAGCCACTCAGGTGCCTTAATACTAAACTTTTTTCTAATTTTTTTTTTTACATTTATTTATTTTTGAGAGACAGAGCACAAGTTGGGGAGGGACAGAGAGAGAGAGAGAGAGAATCCAAAGCAGGCTCCAGGTTTC